ATCATATGCATAATTCGTTTTATTTCGCATTTTTACGTTTCTCTTTTCTAACAATCTACTTTCATGATTAATTATCATTGATTTCAGCTTGTTCAGACAATTCGTTGGTTTATTTGGATAATACTTTGAGAATAAATAAGAAAGCGACAAGTCATGAAGTGTGACTTTTATAAGCTTTAATGCAACTGACTAATTCTATCTGTTCTTTAAGTATTTAGACATTAGATTTTAACCTAAAATAATATGAACATAAATAAATAATGGGAAGATTATCTTGTCTGTCTCCTAGTTAACTTGGAACAAAATGATATCAAGTATTAAAAATGAAATATGATGATTTTAGACTGTGATTGGTATGAGAATTATATATCTTAAGCTGAAAATTGAAAACTAACGTTTCGTTTCCTTATATTCAGTATCATCTGCTCTATCACTGCTCCATCACTGTTCTAGACAAAAACTACATTTTAAACATTGGTTTGTGACGAAAAATTTTTCAAATACATTTACAAACAATTTAGCTAAGATTTTTTTGTTCACAATATACACTCTATAGATTGATAAAATTTAACTTATTATTGCTGTAGAGAAGAGATTTTTTAAATGGAAAGCTGATTAATACACTATGATAGTCATAGATCATTTAAATCATTCTATTGTATCTTATATAGCATTTCTATCGACACTGGTATATGCCAACCGATCAATTTCTCATGATTTTAATCGATATTCTGCGATAATATCAACACTTCAACGAATGTAAATTAGCATATTTCAGTATCCCGATTAAGCGTAAGAGTTTGAAAAGTAATAATAATAATAATAATTTCGTATAGGAGCAAAAAACATTCGCTGCTAAGTGGTTATTAAGACCAATTTTTTGCTCTTTATTACTAATTGAAGTTTACAGAAATATTCAGCCATTTGAAATGATCTGGTTTGTTAATATTTTTTATAATCCTTATTGTAAATAATTCTCAAAAGAATAACTATTCAACAGCTGGATTAAATCAAAATACATTTAGTACATATTAAAAACTCGGTGCTGAAGTAATTATATGCCTCAAATATTTGTTATGAGTTATTTTAAACTGTGCTTATTGCATATTACTGTGTGATGTATATGAAGAACAGACCAAACATAAATACATGAGTATTCTCTACAGTTTTAGCTACTGACAACTATATTCATAAACATGTATCACGAAACATACTTTAGGTTAGTTCTGAACATTGGCTGACATCCCCTGTAGTACTGTGCAAATATATTAACAGAGAGCTATTTTGCCTCACGCGTTATTGTCTTGTTTATACACAACTTATCGTGTAACCAAACTCAGAATATTCATATCTTGGTCTGAATACAACACTCTTGAACCAGTGAAGCAAACTCCCGTAATTTACATTTCCAAACTCCGACAGTTTGTTACCACCTGTGATCGCGATCTCACTGTGAGTATGGATTAACTTTATCGAATATTCTTACTAACTAGCTTGAAGAGTTCTCCCCAAACATAATCTTTTGTAACCAAGTGTCGAACATTGAAATGACATATACGCCTCTCCAGCTATCCCAAAAAAGGCATCAACGACTATTGAAATATTACACTTATTCTCAAACTTCACCTGACGATACATAAATAACAAGTAAACTTCTTGAATTCTTCCTTAGCCATACCTTAAATCAATACAGATTGTGCTTATTTCATCCAACTATTCGATAAAAGCATTGATAGATCGAACTTCCACATAGTTCTTTTATATTCTTAATCTTGTTCCATTATATACATACAATAAATAAAGCAATGGGCAATAAATTTAATGAAAAGCTAATATCCAATGAAATTTTCTGCGGTTCATTTATTGCATAATAAATCATCAAAAATAAAATCCAACTTCGGCCTGCTTAGTCATAAAAAAATTTACACAAAGAAATTTGAAAAATGTATAAGTAAATAAACTTTGACTAGTATAAAAATAATAATTTCTATTTATAGTGTTGAATAGTTTAATGTTTGTATAAATCAATATTTGAAGATATACTAGTCGGCAAAAGAAAAATATACATAAATCACTGTCTATACTAAAATCAAATCAAATATTATTTCATGATCGAATAAAAAAGAGATCAGTATAAATTAGTGCTTGAAATAAAACAACAATACATTAAGTAAAAAAAGTTAAAAACTACAGGATTTCATACTCTAATGCTTGTCAATGGAAAGTCGTATAAAATAGAAGTTGGAAAAGGTCTTTGTTGATGACAAATCATTATTCACAAGAAATCTTTTCAAAGCTCATGAAAAAAGCACCTATTCGTTATTAATTTACATCTAAAAGATTTGACAATCGCTAAATTTTGCAGACTAGGAGGATAATATTGATCAGTATTTGAATAAATACAACTTAATTATGAAATAATGAATGTGTCGACATTTCATTTGGCAATCATTATTTGACTGGAAAATTCTCGCCTAATTTAACGAAATGTAAGTGTTATCGGGTATTAAAAATCACAAATCATTGTTTTACTCCAGTTTTCGTAAAATAAAACAAGAACTTCAAAGTTTTGTTATGACGAGCTGTATTAAATTGAGGGTTTAATGTGAAATCGAATTTCAAACTCATGTTTTATTCATTGAACAAAAATCAGAAACCAAGAAATTTTTGTGGATTTTTTAGGGTGTGCTTTTTTCCATTTCGCAAAGATTTGTAGCTTGATATGGCATATTCTAAAGTTTCTGTATAGAATAAATCAATAATTTGCATAAAACTATAACTGATATAGATTTTCTAACGGAATCCTTAACCAGTCATTACTTATTTTCATTAAGGTCACTTCTTTAAATTTGATTTAGTTGATGTTTTAATGAACAATTATTTTGTTTTAATCGAATTAATGAATAAAGTTTATTGTTCAGCAAAGGTCTTGTTTGCGTCAGTTCTAATCGAATTTTCGGGTGGAACCTTTAAATTTAAAATAACCTACTTAATGTTATGAAAGTAAGCAAACTGATCTAGTGTCTAACCTATATTGACTTTAACATTTATTTTAATGAATTATAATTGAAGGAATATCATTCTTGATCATCGAAGATTAGACTGATGAGGAATCGTATTCATTGAGTTTTCAGTGTCAGTCAGTTTCGCTGTCAACAAAATCTCGTTCACGTTCATTCTTTGTATTTTACAATAAACATGTAGATGTTTATAACAAAATATTCAGAACATTTAAGAAATCACTACGGACAATAGGTAGGTTTGACCGTTGAATCAGTAACTAATGGTTTACATGAAATTAAATAAGTCCGATAACTATTTAATCTATGTTCTCTCATATTTATTCTTAATAATTTAACTAGCACTAAAATATTTAATCAACTCGATGTTAAATTAAATGTTAAGCCACTAAAAATACTATTGAATTTTCGCAGTCGAAATGAAAAGTACCAAAAACCAAAATACTACTCTGAACAAATGAAATCTACAAGTATTTAACCATTAATGGAGTTATCTAAGAGAAAAGAACATTTCATTTGTATTTAGTAATTCACTTTGCTGATTTTTATATAGAAGTAAATAATTACAAAAATAAAATTTAAAAATATTGAATAAAATAATGATAGTTTTCATCAAATATTTCATTTCTTCATAAAATGATGAAAATTTACTAGAACTGAAATAAATTTATCATGAACAATTTGATTATAATCATTGATGGCATATTTAGAATGAACTTATATTTTATAGGTTGGACAAATATCAGATATTTTACAGATAATTAATATTTATTGACTTGTTCTCATTAAATTTATTTATATAACTTTGACAATTTGACTAGAAAATCTTGGTTTTAAATTTGTAAGTGCAAGTGCAAATTTTTAAACATATGAAACTATGCAAATATCTCCAGCTTTTAAAAACTATGATTAAAATAATCTATGGAGAGATTATATTTAAAAAGAAAATGATATCTATTTTCTGAATAAATTTGATTCTTACACCAAAAGATCATATCAGTCGAAATGTTTCATTGTTTAAATGAACTAGTTTTTGTTTAGTTATTCACCAGTTTTACTAAAATACTCAGTCAATTGATTATGATGATAACAGTAAGACGAAGTATTTAGATAGATGAATTCCTAACTGATTAGATGGTGATTTTTGCAAAGTGTTCAAAGGAGCTGTTATCATGCATTATGAAATCACAAGTTTTAATAATCAATAAGTAAAAATCAAAAAACATAATTTGAAATTTCATCATTTTTTCTTCAAACTCATCTTCCGTTTAATTACCATTTTTGTTTAAAAAACAATAAGTTCATTAAAATATGTTTGTTAAGACTGCAATTAATTTGAAAATTATGAAAATATTACTAGGCTGAAAAAAAACAAAATTTTGTTTACTTTAATTTGTTATATTCTCGCTAAAAGAAATGAAAGTGAAATAAATCCTAAAACAGGTCATTGAAAGTTGGGAAAAAATGAATTATTAAGTTTTGACTTTCCCTCATAAGAACAAACCTGTAATACATGATATCTTAAGATTAATTAATTCGAGTTTCAAGCTTCCATCAGTTTATTGACTGTCAGTTTATCTTCACTTTATCACTTATAAGTTTCGATAAACTTTGGACGGTCGTTGATTCAACTTACTATTTTTATTGTACGCTTCTGAGATGTTGTGAAATCGGAAAAACATGACAGTTCATTGCTCGTAGCTGCTAATAATTCCTCAAGAATATTATATCTGCTTAACAAGTTTATAGTCCGTTTGAAAATTAGCAAGCTATGCGATAAGGATTTTCAAAATGTTACAATTTTTCCTATTCTTCTGTTGTAAGTTAAAGGATCATAAACTATATTAAGCTAAAACAGCCTACATCACTCACAACTGTAAGCTACATATAAAAAATATATTTAAAAATCAAACTAATAAAATTTAAAAATATCAAGTTCATGAAATATCGGATTGCTATGTTAATAATATATGCACTTACTTTTCGTGATTTACAAACTCCAATCAATGGAAGTATTTCATGCTTCGAATGTGTTTCAAATGTTTGTGAATTATCGTTACTTATACATTCATTACACACCGGTATATGACAATTAACACAATATAGATTCGGTATTAAATTTGAATGTGACATACATGGTGTAGGTTGGTTACGTTGTTTTTGTCGAATTATTTCTACACCTTCAGCTGCTGAATGTAGCGCATGACGATTTAATGGTCCACGAGCTGGATGACATTTTTCACGGCATCGTGTACAATAAAATATTTCACATTGTTCACACCAAAATGTTGCTAAACAATTTTGTTCTACCGTTTCATTTTTATTGGTTTCTGAAGGCGATGGATTTTCCGTCGGGATATTAGGTTCTTCACATAACTGACAAAGTGGTCCACCTGGTCTATTAATCGGATCTGTGTTACTGTTTAATAAGAATGGCTCCAAGTCCGCACTAGCTTTTAATGGATGAGATGACTGCTCAGGGCCTACAAATTTAGATATTATCCGTTCAAGGGCGCGATTTCGTGGTAAGTGACTCAGTCCTTTATCATCAAACAGACCGACGACATGATTACATATCGGACATATTAAGCCACTCGATACTTGACTTATTGAAGATGAAGAAATGCCATAAGTCTGACTTGGACCCAAACCAGAAGTTGATGAACATACTATAACTGGTAATCTTCCCACATAACTACCTGGTCGACTGCTAACAATTACCCCTGAATCAGTTTCGCTTACGACACTCATTTGATCAGAATCTGAAGGTATAACAGAAGTACAACCCATACTTTGTGTGTTTCCATGTGAGGTAGATGTACTGGGACAACCGATACTACTTCCTGTTGTCGAAGATGATGAGGATGAAGATTGAGGCGGGCCACTACCAGGACTAAATGCTTCAGTTGTTGTTAAATGTAGCGCCGCTGCAATTGATGCCGCTATACTTGGTTCACTGGCGGGAAGTAAAGCTCCAGCTGCACATAAATTACACAGGGAATGACCACATGGTAATAATAACGGACATTGGAAAAATCGTCTACATGATGGGCAACGTAATTCAGAATCCATTTTATGCACAGCTGTAAGTGTAGCTGCTATAGTGTGTTGAGCAGATGAGATCGGTCCACCACCACCACCACTAGTGCTTCCATTACTTGTTGCACTCATGAGACTTGAAGCTGAAGAAGCTAACGTTGGCTTCATATAGAAGATTGTTTCACAGGTAATTATTAAAAATAATTCTTATAACAATTATTATGGTGACGTTAACAATAATAGTTCTGTAAGCAATTCTGCATGAATAAATTATTCATATAGTTTATGATAAATCCGTTGAAGATTATGAATGGTATCCATTATTTTCTATTAAATGTTACTCACAAATAATAATAATATTATTAATATAGTTTTTAAAATAACCCCCAAACAAGTCAATGTACTGTCTTAATGTATATATTTATTTATTTATTTCATCTTAAAAGCTGCCTATTTGGCAAAGCACGTAACATTAATAAGTAAGGGATAACAAATATAGACATGTAAGAGAATTCTGAGGTAAAACAAAAAATAAAAAATAAACAGAATCAGAAAGAAGTAATCTGATTGGTTGGATATTATGCATAATGACTTTTTATTAGTTGTATTTTATTTCTCCTCACTGGTCTAATTGAAGATTGAACAGGCTAGTGATTTCAATTGAATTCATCATCATGATAACTACATTCATAGAAATCAGTTATGAAAATCATGATGAATAATAATTTCCATGAAAAAAATTGACTTCAGCTGTAAAAGAGATGGAATTTATGAAAGCGTGAAATCCTTTTTAATTTTTTTGTTGACTGTAAGAATCGGCTTATAGTATCTCTTTATGAAACGGAATAATGTTCGTTAGAAACCTAAAAGTTCCCGGTATTTGAATTTGTTATAGATTAAAAGTAAATTAATTTGTAAGTTCAAGATTGAACATTAGTTCATAATTAGAATTTTCGGTTAAATACTAAAGATTATATATGGCCTTCAAAACATCTTTTGATAACAGATAGTGTATAATACATTTGGATATAAACATATACTACGATCAATAATATTTCCATTAACTAAAATGTATACCATAATCTTATTTTAATTTAATATTTCTAATCTGCTATCAACTTCATCACAGTTAACTGAGTGGGATTCCCTCAGAACTTAATAATATACAAGTTTGATACTAGTTATAGTTTAACCTCTTTCTGTACTCTGTTAATCACATTAATCTCCTGGTTTAGGTTTCTGGTGTGTGTACTTTTTTCATCAACTGAAGCAGTTTCTATGACTCATTAAGACTTCTTATTCAATCCTACAAAATAGCATTTTATTTTGGTTACCTGTAATAATATCCAACAATCAAATATGTTTTAAGTAATTACACAAATGCTACCAGCATGTAATATTCACTATACAAATTTGAAAGAAAATTATTAATAGACTATATTACAAGAACTGACATAGTTCTTGAATAATTTAAATCTTTAGTTAAATAAATAATCCATGCAACACTAATTGTTCGTTAAAATAAACAGCCTTTGAAGTACACTGACAACTTTGACCAAGTCAACATTAGTTAATAAATTAATATAAACGTCGATTCAGTTTTTACAAGTTTACAGGTGAATTAAACACATATTCTCAGTTTTTGCTACCTGCTTTCATCAGAAAAATTTTTCACTGAATTTGAAAATAGTTACTATCGATTAAATATTAAATATTTCACTTGTTTATCGTTCTAACATCTGAGGAGTGAACTACTTCTCTTTTTGTTCAAATTGTTACATTCTAATCATGTGTTTGTTGTTGACATTAAAGTTTAAATGCAGGTTTTCTTTTTCTGGATTAGTGAAATTATAAATTTTTTTGGTGTTATATTTTATCTCCAAGAGTATATTTTACTTCAGAAAAAAAAGTTTAAAGAAAAGCTATTTATACCTTCATCAATAGACACGTCTGGAAATTATCCCCAAGGAATTGGAATCTGTCTTTGCCCAAGTTTTTTTCTCTAATTGTCATTGATGTTTTTCTTATAAATTTTATGTGGAATAAAAATTGTTTAGTGATGTAGAACAACACTTACAAGAATAAAAAATAAATAATTCACATCATCAAATGATGAAGTGAAAAAAAATTCATGAAATTAACATTTTTTGTTTTTAAAATAAGAGAAAGACTTTTTGGAGAAAAGGTACAGTACAGTCTTAGACCTTTTGTCACGATTTTTTACTTTATACCTGTGCAAAAGTAACTGGAGCTGTTGAGTTGTTTTGTTTTTGTTTTTGTATTTTTTTTATCAAAGAAGTTTGTAAAAGATTTTCCTTTTAGATGAAAGAAAGAAGTGTTGAGAACACACACGTTGATAAAGCCTAACAACTATCATGTTAGATATTATATACACATATTGTGTACATGTATATACACTAGCATTTACCGATGTCATACCAACCAACCGGTAATCGCACTCAACACACTTGTAAATCTACTTTACGGAATAATGAAAGCGGAAAGTTCTATTTGAAAACAGTTTCATTTATAAATTTCATATTCCTCGTATAGTATATGGATGCTTTAGTTATTAAGGTGGTGATTTTTTAGGGAACTGTAGTCAGTCGTCATCCATCACCTCATCATTGTTTTATTCCAATTCGCAACTTAAAGCATAGTATGTACGTAAAGATTCATACAAGCTTTCATTCCATAGATATTACAACAAATATAACTCGAACAACCAACTGCACAGGAATTCAATAGATAACATTTCAGATATTAGTCAATTTGTTATATAACCTTATTCGCATAGATCTATATGTTACTAAACGTATATTAGGTTTTAAACCATAACCTAATGATTAAGCCCTTCAAATGTTTTTTGTTCGTCAAATTTTTTTGAATTGTCAATAGTTTTTGATATTATGTCATTCGAAATCTCTAAGCACCTGTTACGATTGTTACTTAGACCCTAACTAGGCGAGCTTATTATCTCAGCGGGAACATTGAAGGAATGGTAATTTACAGGACTAATTTGTGGATTATTGTTACATCTATATTCGAATGATACAACCACTAGATAACTAGATTACTGTACTACATATATATATGTTCACACGTAACTTGATAATCTACCTACGTATGAATCACCGAATTCCAGTGATCGTTTGACATGATGCTGATATATTTACTCCACATTTATCACTAATTGTAAGTAGCGAATTTTTATCTTATTGATAATATTGATCATAAACGTCCCATTCAAATGGTATTCTGATCTCAACAATGCCCTGTGGTTTGATTACTGGGTGTACTGGATGAATAACACAGTTGTTCAATTCTTTAGGTTTTTAATAATAATCTAGCTAGGATCAAGTTCGTGAATGTAACTGTAACAAAAATAAACAATCTAAGAATGATTATGTAATAAGAGATATCAGTAAATAATCAAACTATGTGGTGAATAAAAATGAATAATCACGGGTTGAAAAGAATTGGTAGAATTTTTGCTGCTCGAGAACAATTGAATATGCTATGAAATTAATTCACCCTCCAACAGTAATAAAAAGTTAAATACAGATTCAGTTGGATGAGTTTTTTCATGAAAAATTGTTCATGCAGAGTGACAACATGAGAATAAAAAGTATCAAAGCAAAGTGAAACGATGTGATATCAGTTAACTTGCAAAGTAGGCTTTATTGTTTGATCCTCTCATTTTGACGTTCATAAAAATTAAATCAGGCCAAATGGTGTGTCAATCATTCTCTTATTTACGTTTCGTTCCTTCCAGAGCTCGTGTTACCTACCTTAGAATCGAACTTTTCTAATTGTATAACTGATCGTAGTTTAGTTTCAAACTCTGATTATAGCCTATGAAGATCTTAAGGTTTTTAGTGTCTGTCATCCTTTCAATTTCATAGGCATAAGAATATTGAAAAAACCTGAAGTAATCAGGTTGTTTGCTTTTCTTCGTTTTCAAGTCAAGTGGTTGAATAAAAAATTCCAAACGAAAATTGTATTACTCTACGCTAGTTATTCTTAAATCCGTATATAACTGATAAATTGAAGATTATTTCAAGATAGATCGTAAATTTTCATCTGCATTTATACCTTCGCCTAATTTCATCATTTCATAAATAAATAAATGTATTTCTAAAAGTACATTCAACTACTGTGACAGACTTATTGATTAAGTAAACATATAATAATATGAGTTATATCTTCATGACGGCTTACAGATTACATGGTTTCTTTGACTAGAGACCAGTGTATCCTCATACAATTGAATGATTTTCCAATTTGCGGAATCAACTGTTAGATAAACAAATAACAGTAAACCAGACGATAAAATATGCATAAGAAACTATTTTGTTAGACAGAAAAATTTAACGAGACATCCTATAATCTGCTCATATATTCTACAGGTTACGCTGACCTAAAAGCAGATTAAATCAACTCTATATTCCAGTAAATGGAAAAGTTGGTCAAAATTCCGTTTGATTAACAAATTATTACTATTAATTTTATTTAAAATCAATAAAAAATTTCCACATACCCATTTCACTTACAGCCATTTACAGTCATTTGATCAATGATGCCTATGTCTTAAATAAATCGCCTGATGTTTTCATGAAAATTAAAAGTTTACTAAATAGACAATCGGTTCTAACTCACTGAATTAATAGTTTAGCAGGTATATGTAAATTTTCTGAGTTTATGGGTAACAAGAGTTCAAGAAATCCAGAACTAGTAAAAAGAAACTTTTCAAAGTTTCTTAATTTCTTCATAGATCACCAATACGAATTACTTCTAAAGTAATAAAATTATTCAAAAATTCTATGGAATAAAAAATGATCACATATTTCATCCGAAACAATGTACACTAATTAATAATCTATGTTATAGCTATTATGACAATCAACTATCTAACACTGAGACTAATATAAAACATTTTCAACTGAAATACCTCTTTCTTAGTTGAAGATTATTATACCTAAAGTCGAATAATCACTAACAAAATGTGAACATTTTACAATCATTTCCTAGTCGTTCTAGCCTACCCAAGGATTATTTTATTCAATGAGATTTTTTCTAATTATTTAGTCTACATATCCCTCTGTCAATTCCCTTGTTTATCAACTCCTGTCTTTTCCAATTTTTTTTCTTTTATGCTAATTACCATC